TTACATTTACTGAATTTTTATTCTTTACTATCTATCTATCTATCATCTACCTACCTACCTTTTTCTGTATATAGATGGATGCTGACTGTTGGGCAATCTATGATATTTTAACATGTACAAATGTACTTCAAAAGCTTATGGAAAAATGGAATTAAAAGATAATGTGAATTTTTTCACGAAATTTTTGAAGTGCCCTTGTACTTTTAAGTAGCTGTTATACACTTCTACCATGCTCTTGCTACCTTATCCTGGTATGGTAACCTGGCAAATCTGAAAATCTGTATTTTCTCACATTTAATGTATGTACAATTTAATCTTTTCGCAGGATGCTACTAATGATAACATTATCCTCAACATAATCTGAATACTTTTTCAAATGCTTTGTTAAATATTCCGTGCCCTATAATGAATTATGCCTTGACAATAAAACAAGAAGTTTATATATTTTTAAATGACCATAAAGTACTATCCGGTTTTCAAACAATGCTGTTTAAAAAACCTAAAGTTAAAGAAATAGAAAACCTTCATCTAATTTGGTACTATTTACCTTGGTCTTTACCTATTTGTTACTATCTATTTTTTAGTCTGATCACAATTCTCTTTCCTGGATGAAATAGAAACTAACCTTTAAATCCATTCTCCGCTTGCATCAGAATATGCATTGTGTGTGTTCATGTGTGAATGTGCGTGTGTACATGTGCATTTGTGTGTGTCTGTGTAAACCATTTCAGAGCCATATCTTGGTTTTGACTCTAGATCTCATGCTCTAGAAATAAGTTAGCTCAAAGGAATCCACTTCTCCCCTCAAACAAAAGAACTTGAGTGTCTCTAGAATTGCTCTCTACCTTGAAAGGAAGATTTCTCTCTTTATTGGCAGAGTTAAGACTTTGTATTAAACTCTTACTGCTTCTACTTAGCCTTCAGTGTATCTTCTGTAATTTCCTATCTTATAGTGTTTCTCTTCATAGCTAATATTAATAATAATAGCAAATGTATTATTTGCCTAGCAGTCAACTAAGTAATTTGCAAATATAGAATAATTTAGGATAACATACAGCATCTTATTATTGTCTACAAGAGCCCTCATGGTCTTGCTATACTTGCCTCCTTGTCATGCACCCACACTGCCAGGGACACTCACACCTTAGAACAGTGACACTCATTACTCTCTACCTGGAAAACCTGTCCTCTCCATATCCCCATGGCTGCCTCCTTCACTTCTTTTAAGTCTCTGTTCAAGTGGTGCTTTCACAGAGAGACCTTTGGTCCCTATATGTTCACTTACTGTCCTTTTTAAAAATTGTATTTACTTATTTATTATATAATTTTATTATATTCGAGAAGGTTCTAAAACACATGAAAATTTTTTAAATAATGAAAAATAAATAAATCTACGTACTGAGCCACTAAACTTAGGAAACAGAATATTGCAAATAACCATTGATGTCCCCCTGTTGCCTCTCTTAAATTTCTTTCCCTCTCCCCAAACCCACTTCCATCATTATTTCCATGCAGATCATTTGTCTGTTTTCAATGTTATTTCCTGCTCTTCTCATTAAAATACATTCCCCACGATCCTTTTTAAATTGGCTACTGGTTTAACTTAGCCAGTGGAAAGCACTTGGAGGATACTGAGGGTAGGAAGAGGAGAGAGCCTAAGATATTTCTTGTCTTCTCTCATTGTTTCAGTGTACATTTCCATCAGTGGATGAGAATGACTCCTCCAAGGTTCTAGCTTCCTCTGGAAATGGCATTCCTCAGGGCCCTGCTTCCCAACAGGGAACTTCCCTGTAAATATAGTTCCTTAGGGGTGGCCCCAGTTATTGGATTATTATAACACTCTCTCCCAGCTCTTACCTTTGTCTTCCTAACACACAGGATAGTGTTGGCTTCCTGCTATTGGGAACCTATGGGTTACCCACTATGCCTTGTGTAGATCCTTATTTATTCTAACATTTTTGTATTTAATTCTCTATCTTAAATTCTTTTTATTGCATTATCTGGAAGGATCTATTTCTCTCTCTCCCTCCTCTCTGATACAATCCCCTTAATTTTTTTTCCAAAGTAAATTATTTTTATTAGCTATTATGATCTATTTACTTGTTTATTTGTTCATTTCCTGACTCACCAACTAAAGTTTAAGCATCAAGAGAACTGAGGCTTTAGTTTTTATTGTTTTACTTTTTGCATTCATGGTGCTCAGAGCCCTGAATAAATATTTGCTGATTGAAGGAATAATAAATGAATGGATTCATTTAATTCTCCCAAAAGTATTATCATCCCCATTTCTACAAATGAGATCTAAGATAATAAAAGGTTAAGCAATTTGCCAAAGCCAGTAAGTGGATAGACAATTCCAAAGCCATGTTTTCTGAACTGCACTATCACACTTAACTAATTATCATGCTGTAGAGCCTCTTTCTGTTAAAAACAGAAAGTAAGATCTATCCTCTTAGATGTTCATAAAAACCTCTTGATCTCTTTCTAATAAAATGTAATTCCAAAATCTTCACAAACTCTTTCTATACTTATCTCTCCCTCCTGACATATTTTCATCATGTGGGTAAAATTGGACCGATTGATATCACTTCTGTCAAACTTCTAATACACATGTTTGCCCCAGCCACTGCCACAAGGTAAACAAGCACTGTTTTCCAGAATATACATGTTCCAGTTCTATTAACCCAATCTTTATGCAGCTTATATTCCATCCAACATTCCCCTTTGTCTCTTCCCATAGACCCCTCTCATCCCAGATCATTCGCTGAAATGCCTTCTCAAACACAACCCTTTGCTTCGTCAAAACTAAATTCTCCTTTATTTCACTGCTATTCATGAGGTCCCTTTGCCTTTGTTTATTCATAAGTTATCTAGCATTCAAAGTATTGCATCTGGTCAGTAGGCAGAGAAACACAGTATTTATGTGAAATAAAATACTAAGGTTTAAACTACCACAGAGATCTTTCAATAAGAAATTGGAAGAGCTCACATTAAACAAAAGTCTCTTAAAATAAATTTGGGAATGAGCTCCTAAATAAATATAAGCACATTGAATACAATTTTTCATTTCTAAAATTTTGGTGTCCATACAGTCTCTAAAATTAACCAAATGAATACTCAAATAGCATGCAAAATACTATTCTATGTTCTCATTTAGGAGAAGGAATTGGTATATAGAAGTGATACTCATACACTGTCTACTAAAATAATGAAATTTAAATAATGCAATTTGATATAGTGTTTTAAACTAGGACTTTGCATTGTGATTTGATCTATTTAAGAAAATTATCAGCCATTATCTTTTCAAATATGGCTTCTGCCACATTCCTTCTGGGATATAATTATGCTAGATCATTTTATTGGATTTTCTATTCTTTTGACTCTCCATGTTCAATTTCTAATATTTACTTCTGACCAATCTTCAAGTTTAATAATTCTCTATTCAGTATTGTCCGATTTGCTGTTAAACACATCCATTTAGTTCTTCTTGTCACATTTCATTTCTCAGGTCTTTAATTTCTTTTTGATTATCCTTAAAATCTATGTCATTTTCATAGTTTCCAATTCGCTACAAAATTTTCAATCTTGTTTTTAATCCACTTGAACGCAGTCAGTGTAGCTACTTAATTCACATTACACATAAAAGCATATAATTAAGCATATATATACATATGAATATACCTGAAAGAGTTTATGGAAAGATTCGTATTATCTTGTAATTCTGTTTTGCCATGAACTCCTCTAAGTACCCTTGTGTGTATATAAGCACTGTGTGTATATATATATATATATATA